TTTCCCCGTGTTTCTAGGAGCCATGCTAGTAGCAAATTTGCACCAACTCCTGGAACGCTTGCTAGGGAGTTAAAGTTTCTATCTTGGGGAGCACTTCCAAGTCAAAATTTCTCCTCTATTCAACTTTGTGTCCTGGCCTCCAAGCAGCCTCAGGATCTCCTCCAGCTCCTATCAGTACATGCTGTTTCTCACGGCTCCTTTAGTGTATAGTCCCTATCCTGCCCTAGCAGGCCCAGCATGTCCCCGGCTGTCATGGAGGATCCTGAGGGGTACACATGTTGTCTCGCACAAGAGAGGCCTCTTCTATGGCTCCCATCATGGAATGAGGATGGGGAGTGCTAGTGAGGATTACGGGGAGGTATGCCTGTAAGATCAGACTATTCCAAAGGGTTTGGGGAGTCAAAATCTGTGCCGGGGGTGGGGGGATCCAGCCAGATGTTGCATCTGAGGTGTCAGGTTTTCCCAATCAGGGCCCTGACCTTGCATAACAGACCTGCCTTAGTTGGGTAATTAACTGTCTTTGAAGTTCTGCTACTCTATTAAGCCCCGGGCTTAGTCTTCACTTTCTCTTCCCTCCCACTGTAGGAGATGAGAGCTTCTTTGTATGCAAACAAAGAGGCCCTCTGGTTCCACATCTGGCTTTCAATTGCCTGGTACTTGCCCTCAGCTGTTCATTATCCTTGGAGGCATCAATGGCACTTAGAAATAGCCATCCAATCTCATTCCCCTATAGCTACTGTCTCCTCCCTACATCTCAAATGCCTGACTGCAATTGCATGGCTTACTCCAGTATACCATCCCAATTCACCACCGATAAAACTTTCAACAAGTGGAAGGAGAGGGAAGGAAGGTGGCTGGCTCAAGGGAGAGGACTCCTGTGAGAAGCAGTCAGTTAGAGAGCAGTATTTGTTGTTAGTACTTACTTAAAAAAGAAAAGAAAAGAAGAAAAACCCTGGGCCAGTCTGGTGGCATAGAGGTTAAGTTTGTGCACCTCACTTCAGCGCCCAGGGTTCGCAGTTCGGATCCCAGGTGCTAACACTCACATTGCTCAAGTCACGCTGTGGTGGCATCCCATATACAAAATAGAGGAGGACTGCCAGAGATGTTAGCTCAGGGACAATGTTCCTTACACACACACACAAAAATCCAAAGAGTTGTCTTCCCTGGAGGGGCAGAGGACAAATTCCCAGAAAGCAGCAGTCAGCAGGACCCAGCTTGCTCAGGAACCTGTTTGTGTGCGTGTGTGTGTGTGTGTCTGTGTGTGCTTTGTGGGAGGGAGGAGGGTGTTCTTTGCTTTTCTTTAAAATGGTTATATTCTGATCTGACCAGGTATAGCTTTCAAAAGGAGCAGTAATTCACAAGCTATTTCCTTGTTTTGGCTGTCTAGCAGGAAAGCCCCCGCCCCCCTTTTTTTCCCCTGTTTTTTTTTCTTTAAGGGAGAGAGAACGTGGGCTATAGAGCCAGTCAGACGTGAGTCCCATTCCCAGGTACAGTAATTCCTGCAGTGTCCAGGGTCAGTCACTTAACACTTTGGTTTTCTCCTCCAAAAATGGTGCTAACACCATACGATGCAACACCGATGTGAGATGCGCCTTGTCTGTAGTGGGCAATGAGGGTCAGCCATGACTACTCTGCTCTTGAGGAACCTGGTTTATTCTCTGCAGCAGAGACTAGCAGGTCCACAGGATGAAGCAGAATCTGCTAATTATCGGCAAGGGGCATCAGAATCACGTTTCACAGAGCCTGATCTCGCACAAGGATCACAGTGAGGAGACTGCCCTATGTGCCAGTGAGCAACATTCGTAAGAGGCACAGCCTCTGTAGCAGTCCATCAAAAAAGCCGCTTATCTTCTAAATTTTCTCAGCAGCTCATCTACTGATAGGCTCCAGAAGTTACCTTTCGGTTTAACAAATACTTATTAAACCCCTACTATTTACTAGGCGTTGGAAATATTTTAGTAAATATGATTTGGTGTGACCTCCTGGTGACAACAAAGCACGTTTGGAAGATGAATGCCTCCTCTCTCCTGAATGGTATTACTACCAGAGTTCCAGACTGGTCAAGACTGGGAGTTGCCACAGAAGGAAACCAGAGCGTGTCCTCAAGGACAGTCACGATGGCTGGCAGCAGGGCACACACTCTACTCAGGAAGTCTTTTACCTGGAGCTGCCGGCGAAGGGCTAAGAGTTTTCTAAACAATTGATGAAGGGCAGAAAAAGTGCCTAAATCGAACAGTTGATGGGAATAATCTTTGGCAGACTGTTTCTAAACTATCTTTAATATTTCCTTAATAGAAGGGACACAGAAGCCCTGCTTAACTAAGGTTTTTAATTTTATTGGCTCATCTAGTCAGGAGCAGTGTTTGAGAAACCACAAATAAGCAAATTTGTTTATTTCAACCACGTAACATATAATATAGTAATTCTGAAATTTAGTAAAGTGGCAAAGGATTTGGGAGTTAGTATTATTAATATACTACCTCTTGGTTCTCTTCTGTTACTTGCCTATTTCTCTTGCATTACATGATTTTCTCCTTACAGGAGAAACTTACCATTACAAAGTGAGTAGCATAGTAAACCTACTGCCAAAAATCATACATTGACTTTGGGTATTCTATTCACATATGCAGAAAAGAAGCCATAGAGCTGCCTTAGTTGGACAAGGCAGAATGTTCTAGAACTCATCCTCATTCTCATCCAGGTATGCAGTCAATATAAAGTTTACTAAAATTAGGGGAAAGACCTCATTTTACAAAGGTAAACATTGGTTTACCTTTTTTTTTTTTGAGGCAGATTAGCCCTGAGCTAACATCTGCTGCCAATCCTCCTCTTTTTGCTGAGGAAGACTGGCCCTGAGCTAACATCCATGCCCATCTTCCTCCACTTTATATGTGGGATGCCTACCACAGCATGGCTTGACAAGCGGTGCCATGTTTGCACCCGGGATTCAAACGGGTGAACCCCCGGCCGTGGAAGCCGAATGTGTGCACTTAACTGCTGCGCCACCAGACCGGCCCCTTGGTTGAACTTTCATGCTAATGTGTTATTTAATGATACCATTTAAACTTGTTTTCTGTGTGGGAAGCTGCTCCTAGTTGTTAAAAAAAAAAAGTAGTACATCCATTCAGATAAGACACCCCTAAAGAAGTGAATTCTAAGATGGATTAAAAGGACAGGTTTTTGGCAACTGAAAACTCTGAAGAAACAAATCTTGACAGATCTAATACTGTTAATTTTTAAAGGATGAATTAAACAACCAGAAAAATAGGCTCTGACATCTGCCTAGGAAGGGGTGAAGGAATCCTTAAGATAGAAAATTCAGCTCACACTGGGGTGCTGATACCTAGTAACAGGGCCGTCTGGCTTTTTTGGCAGTGGTTTCAGATAAGTAGTTTAGAAATAATTTTATCACCGATCCCTTCTTATCTCCAGAAAACTATAATGATAATGGAACCAATTTCAACTAAGTCTTAAAGGAATGCCTAGCACATGATAGGAGCTCAAGAAACACATACTAAATAAATTTTGTGTGTGTGTGTGAGAAAGACTGTCCCTGAGCTAACATTTGTGGTAATCTTCCTCTATTTTGTATGTGGGATGATGCCACAGCATGGCTTGATGAGCAGTGTGTAAGTCTGCACCTGGGATCCAAACCTGCAAACCCTGGGCCACCAAAGCACAAACTTAACCACTACACCACCAGGATGACCCCTAAATCAGTTTTTTAAAAATTCAAGAACTCGGTTCTCCTAAGGGAAAGGTGGGAAAGTAGAAAAAGAAGTGAATCAGAAGGTATAAAATTGATAATTATTCTCATAAACTTGGAAAAAAGATCTAATCAAAATTGTCCATAGACAGATATATGTCACTAAACAAAGTCCAAGGATTCTGGATAAGTCTAAGACAGATAAAAGACAGTGGCCTCCTTGAATCCTCTGGGGTTGCAGACTCACCTGTTCTGTCTTCATCTGCAAATTGAGATGACTTGTTAACCCACATTTCTGAGATGCTATGTGTTTGAAAAATGTAAAAATACTACAGGCATACAAATGTTGAGTGTGTATTATTATCAGATTTTAGAAAGGGGTATTGAGTATCTAGTGATTCATATATATTCACAGTTTATCTTGACTTTAGCCTGGAAACTCATATTATCACATTCTGGTTCAGCTTACACAGAAATATAGTAACAACAGAGCTTGCAGTATTGAAATAAAATGAAAAAGCTTTTATGCTTTAGTCAATAGAGTATTTTTCTCTTTACATTTTGAGTATATTCATCTTAGGGTCAGTTAATTTTATAATTTTTTCTAGACAGATATAAGGAGTAATAACTAATCTAGGAATTCTACAGAAAGTTCTATTTTCCACAGAGGGCATGGATATGTAGTGGTAACAGGTGTCCAGCTCTCCAAACTACAACTTAACATATCATTTTATCTAATATTTGAGATTCTTTTTGTGAGCAAAAAAAAGAAAAAATGACCTGTTGCATCAATCCCATTGCTTGCGAGCCACACTTCATACATTACCTAAAGAAAAAAAGGCCATTTAAGATAATTTTTTTTTAAAGACTGGCACCTAAGCTAACAACTGTTGCCAATCTTTTCTTTTTTTCCTTCTTCTCCCCAAATCCCCCCAATACATAGCTGCATATTCTAGTTGTGGGTCCTCCTAGTTGTGCTACGTGGGACGCCACCTCACCTCAGCACGGCCTGATGAACCACCGCTCATGCCGATGCCCAGGATCCGAACTGACGAAACCCTGGGCCGCCGAAGTGGAGTGTGCAAACTTAACCACTCAGCCACAGGGCTGGCCCAAGATAATTTTTTAATCTAGCAAAAGAGTTAAAAAACGTTCACCCTTGAAATGTTTGCCCTAACCCCTTATACAAGTTAGTCCTAAGAGGAACCATGTTCAGGAAGCCAGGAAACTCAGAGAGAAAAACACACAGTCACACAAACCGTCCGCCAGCAACAAAAGAGTCAGCAAACTGTTGGAAAACAGAGAGAGCTTGTAATAATGAAAAAAGGACAGAGTTTTGTAACCAATCACTTATTGTCTTTTAAAAACACATAACCACATTAACTTTTTGCTTTATACAACCATCTAGAAACTATAAAACAGTACCACATTGTGCATTTAACCTACTTATCAAGGAGGGAACTCCACACTTCATAAGAATTCTACCCATGTAAGAAGGAAAAAGGAGACAGCTAATAGCATAGTCACAGATACAACATGAGTCCAAGCAAGCATCAATTCTTTGACGTCACCTTTTCCATTTACCAGAGTGGAGAGAATAAGAAAGAAAGCAAGGGAGAAAATAGAGGGAAAGAAGCACCCACAGGGGACTAATCACATTCCATAGTTACTTTGACAACCATAGCTCAGGGTTTCATAGAATAGTATCATTTGACCAACACAATGTGGTAGGGGCTGAAGGAAACATGAGTAGAGGGAGAGGGTTTGAAAAGACAGATACATTTTACACCCTATTCCCCTCCTAAATACTCTTCATTGATACAAGCTTCTGTGCTAATCCAGGTAATAGCAAGAAATTAATTTTCACAATGTGATAAAGCTTAAGAGTTCTGCTCTTTTTGCACGTGAGTGGCTCTCAATTTTACCTTACATTTCAAATGAATAACAATGTCATGATCAATTACTCTTTTGGGATACCCCACAATCTTTCTCCCTATTCCCACCATGCTGGTGTTGCTACAGGACAATCAGGGAAGTGTGGGTAGGGACTTCAGAGTGATGATAAAGGGAGAGTGAGATGGAATCCTTGCTCTTTCTTAGAAGTCCACATCCTTCTGGTGGTAAGTCTTCCCTCTGATTTGTGGTTGTACAGAGGAAAGGGCATAGAAGAACTAAGGTAACATGGTAGAAGTTTAGTCAAGTAACTGGTATACAAGATGAGACTGTGTACTTAGCAGACACACTGAATCCAAGGCAAACAGTTGGTTATTTGATTGTCCTCCTTAGGTTGATGGCACCATAAAAAAAACTGAAGGTGGCTTTGATTTAATAATAAAATTAACCAAAGGTCTGCTACAAGGAAACATACTTTAGATGAAAATTAGTATAATGAATCTCTTCACTTCGGGGAAACTCTCCATCTTGTCCCTCTCACTTCCTCTTCCACGGTAAGTAAGCAAATACATTTTGGAAGGTTGTTTTTAAGGGGCAACTCAATATCAGCCTCTTGCCAGTTCATATAAGAACGGCATTATGAGCCACACCAATCAGTAGGCTCCTCTCCACCAGGCAAACTTCTCATATCGCTTAAACTAAGCACTTCCAAATCTAATGAGATGCTTTTACTTTTTCATATTTGGTGAGTAGAGTGTGGTTTAATGCTGGTTAACCTATTGGTTTGTAGCACTGACCACCACAAATTTCTTATGCTCTAAAATAACTCTGTCCCAATGACCATGGTGCTCTGACATTGTATAGACTGAATATACAATGCAGAAAGTCAGCTTTTAAAATTTACTAACAAGACTAATACCTGAAATGCAGAAATGCACATGTTTTAGTAATTTATCTCATTTTAAAATCTCATTTTAACTCTCCAGGCTTCGGCTAATCATCATTAGAAATAAAGTTTACATGCACCATAAAAAGAAAATGAACTAAGCTGACAAATTTGATTTATTCTTTACTTTTTTCCCAAAGTTCTACCAGAACTTATATTGTCTTACCCTAGTAACTATAGATTTTATCTATAATGATACTGGCTTTTAAAATGATTTGAGAAAATTATGGCGATTTTGTAGTTGAGAAAGCCATAGATACAACATGATTATTTTTTAAATCTGAGAGGCTATCAATTTAAAACATCTAAATATGTTATATAGTAAAAAGTCTTTATTTTTTGAGAGTTAGGCAAATTTCATGAAAACTATTAAAGAAAGCAATAATAATCCAAAATTTTTTTTACCAAATAAAGTACAATCACTTCAGAGAGTCCTAAGTTTTTGAATAAAATAATGCCACGGACAGGGTTATTCTCTAAATTATTTTCCTTACACTAAGAAATTTTTCTAGTCATTGCTTAGAAAATTGCAATTTTCCTGCGTAAGGAAAGTAATGGAGAGAAATGATAGGAAAATAAAGGCAGGTCTCTACCAGCAACATACTCCACTGAAAGGAGAGACAGTAGGCATCACCTCCACGCCATCAAGTTCACATACTTTCCTAAGTGCCCTGGCTTCCACTGCCAAGGTCCAACATCCTCTTGCTCTTCTCTGCTATTTCCACAGCTATTTTATTTCTCTTCAACTAAATGTCTGTTAATCTGATATCTGTATGACTCAATAAGAGGTTACATTTTTCTGTTCTTAACTTGCCTTAATTCACCTGTTAAGAAATAATGAACTGCTTTCTTCAGTTATCATGACTGTACTTGGGTCAAACCATGGTGGAAGGAGACAATATATCAACAAGTTACTTCTAGTAAAATCTCAGTTAAAATATTAGAACTCTTATGTTGAGAATATCAGGAAGTCACGGATCCCAGGGGCTGGGCTCTATTTTCCTTCTTTAAGGGTCTACATAGGTTACTGCGGGGGTGACTGACGTTCTCTTCTCATATCACTGCTTCTGAATCTGAAGTTAGCAGCTTTCTTAAGGAGAAAACTGGCAGATGCTGGAAAAGACAGTTGCACGTAGGTTTTCAACTTCTTCTCAACTCCAAAAATAACCATTATGACCTGATCAATGATGACTTAATCTTTGATCACTTTATTGTCTCTCTGTATGGTATGAAATTATCAACTATTCCATTTTAACGGTATAGGTAGCCTTACATACAGGCACATATTTGTGCACAGAAAATAAGCCACTTTTGTCTTCTAATTTTTCTACACACATCAATGCTTTCTATACTATCTATCATAAAATGAAAAATGAACTTTATTCTTTTATTTATACTTTCTTTTCATTCCTTTGGGGAGCATTTTAACTGACATTATAAACTGAGTGATTCTCAAACAAAATACAACTAGATAAAGCTAAAATCAGATAAGTTTTACCTTTAGTTAGACTGTTACTCCTTTAAAACGACTGTGATGTTCATTTCCTAAGAGTTCTATTAAGAGTTTCAGTGTAGTGGAGTCTCCAACAAAATCGTAGGTAGGGTAGCCAGGGCATATAAAATTTAGGAGAGAAAAATGTACATTGCCTTTTTTGGAGGAAAAAATTTAAATGTACACTCTGTCTCCCAGACTATTTCCTCTTGATGAGGAAAAGCCCTCTTCGTCTCTCTTTACAGCTTTAGGAAGAAGATAAAGCCGTGTGTTTCAATACATATTTGAACATCTGTAATGGTAAGCTGAAAGTTACATAAGCCTTACTCTTGAATGGACTATGCTAATAGGACAAACACAGGAAAGGAATACATTCTACCACTGTATAATCTATGAAATAATAGTGAATAACATCTGGAATCATAACAGTAGAAGAAAGACTAAATTGGCCACAGGATACACTAACGTAAAAACACTGGGGAGTTCAAATACTAGGAGTCAACTGTAAGATTTTATGTGTGTCATTATATAGGTTTACTAATAGAGAATGAAGTTGACAATTCAGATTGCTCTGCATACACAATTAGTACCACCAATTTTATTTGTACAAAAAAATGACTGGTCCACTGGACTTATTTATATAACTCAGTAATGATTAATGCTATTTCTTGACAGACCAGTGATATTCCCCCATAGTTTTAAAGTACAAAAACAGAATAGTTTTTTTAAAAAAAATCCCCAATATAAATAATGCAACCTTTAATCTATTAAGGGTCACTAAATTGTTACCGCTGATTATTGTAAATGATTCAATTTATTTAAACTAAAAAAAAAAAGTAATTAAACTTTTTCTCTTCAGTTTTGGGCCAAGGAACATACTTGGCAAAACACAAAAAAGCAATAAAAGCCACAAAGTTGTATGACTTTTTAGGAAAAAAAAACACCTCAATTCAGAAAGGGAATACATTTTGGAAGCTTGTCAAAATAAAGATAGAAGAAACTCCTTTAAAAAGAAACTATCAGTTAACTGATAGAATTTTGGTAGTAACAGTAACTTTAATATAATCTACTGGAATTATGACAGGGATGAGTAAAGACTTGTGATACACAGGAGAAGAGCTGATGACAAAAGGGGTATATTAAGGGGCAGTAACCACATGTTTCTAAGACTAAGTAAGTGATGATAGCTGCCCTTTCACTCATTTGTTCCTCTGTCTAAAGTTAAGCTGAACAACAACAGCAATTTACTTGCATGAATCCACTGATGCTGACTCTGGAATCTTCATCTGCATTTGGGGGAAAGGGAGGCTTAAAACTTTACTTTTTACTAGTATTTATATTAATTTTGTTAGATAATGAAATGCTAAATTTAATGTCAACCACATTCAAGGAAGTAAAATCCCTTATGGTTTTTGGGCTTATGTGGATGACAGAACCACAGGAAAGAAACAGACAAAGAAGTGAAAATGGGCATTGTACAGACCATGATAGTCTGAAATGTCTAAGAAATACACTTTTTGTGTATGACCATGTTTAGACCCAAAAGATCTTAAAAGCAGGTTTTCTATCATAGGAGGGCATGAAATCCAATGTTCAACCTTTAAAACTGCTGGGAGAAATGGCTGCCAAGGTCTGTTTTAATCAGTGTAAAGTGGAAGAGGAAGGATAATTTGTTCTTTGCTCTCAAAAATATGGTTTCCCCAAGACAGACTTTTAATTTGAGCAAATTCTGGCTAAAGTAAGTGAGCCCAGAAGAAAAATTATCCAATGGGGGTGGAGAGGGTCTCTGAAATAGCTCTGTCTTCTAATTCAGAATAAGTAAAGGTTATTACTTCAATTACCCTACATGCTGAAGCTTGATAAGGCATAACTTCAGTTGTTATGGCTGGAACATGGGCAAATGTATTCTATATCTGTTCTTAAAAAAAAAAAAGGCATCAGACCTCTTAAGTAAATTTCAACTGGTTGTGTGGAAGTGTGTGGATACTCTGCTATGAGAGACATGCTCAGGATTCTAAAGCAGCAGCAACTTAAAAAATCTGTAATAAAACTTTGGCTTAAAATTAAAAAGAAAGAAAAGAAAAAGTCAAACTGGTGCAAGTTGTCTCATGAAAGAGGTATTGTGGACTAAACCCTCATAAATGCTGTCCAACAATAGTTTCCCCTGTCTTCTTTCACTGTTATCACCTTCATTGCACAGGAGTTATATCATTCTTTTATGGTTAAGTTTCATAAATAATGAGAAAACTATATGTAACAAATACATCATATATCCCACCCACCCAGCAACCCTCCCCAAAATAAGAAAAGTTACATCAAATTAAAAAGTAGCTTCGTGAATGAAGGTACTGCTCTAAGTTGCACTTTCCCTGCAAGTGCGGCCAGTGCTTTTGCGCTGGGTATGAAGGAAAGGAAAAAATTCTCCACATAAACTGACAAAAAATTTAAAAATCAATGTCCGGTTTCAACCAGTCAAAACCGGGCCGAGCGGAAGCCGAAGTATCTCGGTACCGTCCCATCAGAGGGTCCTCGCAATGCCTGTTCTTCATCCTGATAGGTATCTGTGTCCTTATGATTGTAAACAATCCATAAGATACTATGTTTTTGTTCCTTAAAATGTCCTCTGATTGGCAAAATGAAGTAAATATTTGTTTTAAAAATAGAAAATGAAAATTAAACCAGAAGAAAAGAAAAGAAACACAGTGAGCTTGTTTGGAGTCCATAGGATCCGATCTGGAAGAGCTCGGAAAATGTGTTATGTGTCTTCTCCTGTTTTCAGCTGGAAAGGTACTAGAGGTGGCGTTGGTCGAGGAAAGGATTGTAGAGTAGGAAAACCAGGGATGTTAATCTAGACGTCAGAGGATTCAAGTGTTAGCTTCATCATCTGTGTCTTCTATCAATACCTTAGTGTCACGAGCCTTGGATCTAGTGGTAATAAGGGGGAAAAAGCACTTAGTCCACTACTAAAATATAAACACATCACAGTATTAGGTACATTTCCAATCTTACCACCATTAAAAATACATCCTAAACAGGCACTATATACTGTACCAGATGGACTATTCTTGGAGTTTCATAATCAATTTCAGGTATTATTGGAAAAACACTAAGAAACTAGACTGCAACCAGAGGAAGATAACAAGAACAATGGCAGGTCATGTGCAACAGAGAGAGTAGTACACTAGAATAAGATGTGAGTTTGAGTACTGACTTGATTTTAGGATGTATCTCTTTAACCTCTTTGAGTGCCAATTTTCACCTCTGTAAAGCGGGAATAATAATACCTATTTCATGTAATACTACTTTCATCTCATGGAGGTAGTGTGAATATCAAGTCAGAAAACGGATGTAAAAAGCATCAGTAGCATTAAACAAATATAAGGAATTAGGATGAGGAAGACAGAAATAATGTCATGTGAGGTACACATGAAAAACCAGGAGAGTTAGTCAGCAGAAGATAAGACCTAAGGAGAGGCATGACAGTTGTCTTCCAACAGCTGACAAAGTATGATGTAGAAGAGGGAGGAGACTAAGCTATGTTAGAGAGCCCAACTAGGATCAACTGGTTGAAGTTACAGTGGAGCCTATTTCAGTCCAACACAAGCTATCTACCATGATAGCTACTCAACAATAAAATCAGGTGGCTTGTATAGTTATAAACTTCATTATCATTGACTACTGTCAATGGCATAAGACAACCATCTATTCAGGACGCCATAGAACAGATTCCTGCACTGGATGAAAAATAGGATGAGATCATGTTAAAATATACTGCAACTCACGAGCCTCAAAAGGTGAAAGCAGTACTTGGTAAACTAGGTATGAGAATTCCTATTTGACAGAGGTGGAAATTGACATTCAAAAAGGTTAAGGATATGCTAAAGGTTGCATGAGTCATGAAGCCAGTACTCAAATTCCTATCTTCTTCTTTTACACCCCCTACTCTCTCGGTTACACATCACCTTCTCCATTGTTCTAAATGCCTTCCTCTGGTTGCAATCTAGCATCCTAGTGTTTTTCCACTGAACACCTGCAATTGAACATCATAATCTATTGCCAAAGAGCTTCTTTGTTTCTGAAGCAGAAATAGTGTATGTTAGATTGCCCTCTGCTGGTAACTAACAAGGATTAGACTTTCAAATTTAGGAGCTCAATGAGACAACCACCTACAGCTCTGTCTTCAGCCTTTTGTGGCACTTATCTTGCTCATCCCACCAGCCCCGGCACCCCCTCCTCCTGCTTGATCAAACTCTGCTTCCTTGCTGTCATCATGTGCCACATAACTACACTTCGGTCACTGACAGACCGCATATATGACAGTGATCCCACAAGATTAATACCATATAGCCTAGGTGTGTAGTAGACTATACTATCTAGGTATGTGTTAGTTTACCCTGTGATGTTCGCACAATGACAAAACAGCCTAACGACACATTTCTCGCAACATATCCCTGTTGTTACGCGGCGTATGACTGTGATATTACCATGCTTTGTTTTTATGTTCTTCCTACTGACCTCTCTGACCATTTCTTTCCTACCCCTTTTGTTTGTTCTTTTTCCTCTTGCTTGTGTTTGCTCCCTTAGACTCAGTTTCTTGCTCTCTGCTTTTCTTTTCTCTACCTTCTCCTCTTCAGAGAACTTCCAAATTCTCTCTAAAGCTTTGGGCAATTTCTACTCTGCTTCCTTATATCAATGGGTTACCATTTCCACTTCCTATTTTTTACTTCCTTTAAAACATGTTACATTCTTTTTAGTCCTATTGTAAACATCCTAATCCAAGGTCTCAATGTCGCATACTTAAGAATACTGCAATGGCCTTCCAATTGGTCTTCTGGCCTTCAGTTTTCCCTTTCCCAATATATCCTAGAGTGTCATTAAAACTTAGGAAAGTAGTACTTTCATAACATTATTCTTTTACGAAAAAATTCTGCCTGACTCCTTCCTGCCTACAAGATCAAGCTTGCACTTTTCAGCCTTTTACAATCATACTTCATCTATTCAGCTAAATTTTCCTACTATAGTTCTAGTCACATGCTTTTTCTTTCTGCTTCTCATTTCCATCTTTATGTTTTTACTGTGCCTCTAAGCCTATTCAAACACTCCCTTATCCTTTAGAAAACTCCTCAAGCTGGACTTAAAGTTTCTTCCTTCATTCCAATCCACTGTGATATCTACTCTCTCTAAATTTCAAATGCAGCCACAACATATCCTACATTTATTGTTTCTTTTAGGGACATATAAAGTCAATGATTGATAAAAATATTGTTATAGGTAATTAGTAAGAAAATAAAAATAGTAATACCTTATATTTATTGAGCTCTTTCTATGAGGAAACTGGTCCTAAGTCATAAAAATTTAATCCACTTAACTACCCTGTGAGCAGGGACCATATTAATCCTAATTTATAGATGAGGGATAATATAGAGACATTAATAATTTGGCCAAGGTTACATAGACGGCAAATGGCAGAGCCAAGATTCCTAAAGTTTGTAGCTTGAAAATTATTTCTATATAAAACATACTGAAGAGTCAAGTAAATTTTTCTCCAACAAATTTTCCCCAGTGTACTTTTACTGTCAAATTAGTGGGCAGTAATTAATGCATTAATTAATATATTAATGACTTTTTACTCAATGTGCTCATTAAGACATTCTATAGCTTGGATCACATAAAATTGCTGTTATTGCTGTTTTTTGTAGGTGAAAAATGGTTGAATGCCAGCAATTTCATTTGGTTCAACCTGATAGCTTCTTAGCTTAAATATTACTTAGTGCTAAACATGAAGGAAATTCATTTCACTGAAGTGGAAGCCATACATACTGAGAAGCAAGGCGAGGCCGGCGCAAGGATATGCTCTGGCTGTACTTCCAAGGCCGGTTCTTCTGGCGGTTTCGTACCCCGTCCTCCTGGTCCATCATCTGCTCTAGGAGTGTCTGATCATCTGCATTGAGAGGGGCCACAGAGATGTCCCGCACAGCACGGAATTCACCACAGTTATTCAGATGTTCATTCTCCAGGCGAAAGAAGTTCCACACAAATCGCCTTAGCAAAATGCAGCAAAGTAGGCAAATTACTTACAATTGTGAACATTATTACCATAATCTGTAAACCTCCCAGTATATCAAGTTTCTACTCATGGAAACAAAAACAAGGAATTAAGGGCTAAAATATTAAAAGAAGATAGAAAAGGATGGCATTGTGGTGGGGGAGGGGAAGGGAACAAGAATGGAGTAGGCAAAGGGAAGAGACTCATGGAATGCACTTTCAGAGTAGTCACTCTTTTACTTTATTGAATAAATATTTATTGAGTGGTTACAATAAGACAGGAAAAGGCACTGAATGAGAGAGACAAAGCCTCTGCCCTTATGGGGTATAATTTTTAGTAGCAAGAAACATAATAAGCACGTAAACAACTGCCTAATGCTAAGTACTCTGAAGAAACTAAAGCAGGGCAAGGGAATAGAGCATCTTTCTCTGAAGAGACGGCATCTAGCAGAAACCTGAATGATGCAAGGAAGTGAGTCATGTAAAATTCTGAAGAGAGGTGTCCTAGGCAGAGGAAATAACTAGTATAAAAGGCCCCAAGTTGGAAAGGCCTTTGGTGTATTGACACAGCAGCGAGGAGGTCAGTCGGGCTGGAGTAGTACAGGGAGGTTAAAATGGCAGGAGAAGAAAATTGAGTGGCCTGATCCACAGAGGGCCTGATAAGCCATAGTAAAGAGTTCAGATTTTAAGTGTGATGGAGAACAAGGAGAGTTCTAGGCAGGAGAATGATGTGATTTATCTTAAAAAGATCATTCTATCTGCGGCACTGTGAATTGATCAAAGGGAGACAAGAACACCTGAAAGAAGATCAATGAGAAGCTATTGCAAGTAGTCCAGGAAAGAGATGATGGAGACCTGGATTAAGGTAGTAATAAGAGAGGTGATGAGAAGCAGATAGACTAGGAATTTATTCATGAAGATGGAGCTGACAGGACTTACTGACATGGGATGAGAGCGGTGTCAGGTTTTTGGTCTCAGTGAATGGTGACACCACATACTAGAGATCTGGGTTGTTCCTATTAGGCTAGAGCCATTATATATCCAGGGGAAAATTCAGTAGCTAGATGGAAATGAGCCTGAAGTTCAACGGAGAGTCTAGGGCTGGAGACAGCATTTGAACAGTGTTTCAAGTCATGGGCTTAGGAATAACAGAAGTGGAGAAGAGAAGAGGGCAGAGGATTATAACCCTGGAGCACTTCAACATCTATAACTTGGGAAGAAGAAGAAGAATCAGTAAAGGAATTGAGAAGGAAGAGCTAGTGAGACAGAAGAGTGTAGTTTCTGAGAAATCAAGTGAAGAAAGTGCTTTGCTGAGAGGTAAAGTAAAAGTACACAGAACTGACCACTGGATTCAGCAACAGAGAAAGTATGATGTAAGAGCAGAGATTCTAGGACACTGACTACATTCAAATCATGGCTCTACCACTTACTTGGTGTAATGACCTCAGATGAGTTAGTTAACCTATGCTTCAGTGTCATCAGTAAAATGAGACAGTGACAGTAGCTGCCTGGTAAGACTGCTGTGAGGATTCAATAAGTTAATACAAGCAAAGGGCTTAGAACAGTGGCAGGTACACAGTAGGCAATATATAAATATTTGCTGCTACTATTATTATTATTACAGATTATTAACAAAAGTGATTTAGGCTGAGTACTGGGGAAAAAAGACGAGTTGAATTACAGGGAGATGGGGGAGGAGTGAGAGAGTGGAGACAGCAAGTATAGACATCTCTTGAAGAGTTCTGCCATAAAAGAGAGCAGAAAAATGGGCAATAGTTGGAGCAGGAAAGTAGATTCAAAGGAGGCTTTTTGCTCTTGTTTTAAATTGGTGATAGACCATCCGACTCTACTAAGCAAATATGTTTTTAAAAAATAAAATAAGAATAAAAAAGTAATTGAGCTTTTTTTTAACCAGAATTTTTTTTTTTTTAATTTATAAAGCATTATACATGAAAGAGAAAGAAGTGGGTGGATGAGTGATGGAGAGTTTGAGGTCCTAGACTTAAGACACTGGGGAAAGTGAAGAAGTGAAGGAGGGCTGACAAATGGTTTGGAGAGGGCATTGACAGCAAGCATACAGTTTCTAGATTCAATTTTTATCTTTCAGGTTTATCTTTGTTTCCAGGTCCTATCTGATTTTATCAGGCCATCTTGATAAATGTGCATATCCTGACTCAGAGGAATGCTACACATCTGTCTGAAAATATCTCTATTCCATCTTCATTTGTGAAACATATTTTCACTGGGTAAAGAGTTCTAGGTAGGCAGTTATTTTCTTTCAGCACACTGAAGATACTTTAATGACTTCTGACTAATTATTGCTGTTGATAAGAAAGCTGTCAATCTAACTGCCAGTTCTTTGAAGATAATCTGCATTTTAATTAAAGATTAGATATGTAAAAGTGTGCAAATCGTACATGTGCAGCTTATTATAAAGTGATCATATGTGTAATTACCACTCAGAAATAAGAAATATAACACTACCATATGCCCAAAGCTGTCTTTATGACCCCCTCCTATGTTATCTTCTACAGAACTTATTGATTTACCTTTCATATTTAGCTCTGCAATCCACCTGGAATTGATCTTGTATACAGTATGCAATAGGAGTCGAGATTCATTTTTTTCCCACATGGCTATCCAGTTGACTCACTATCATTTATTAAAGAACTTCTTTTTCTCCACTGTTATTTAGCCACCTTCGCCATACATCACACATCAGGTAATGTTAATACATGTGTGGATGTGTTTCTGGACTTCCTATTCTGTTTCAGTGGACGATTTGTCTATTTTTTCACCACCACCAGACACTGTCTTAATTACTGTAGCTATATAAGTCTGGATATTTGAGAGCGTAAGTCCTTTAACTTTGTTCTTTTCAGCATAGTCTTGGCTATTCTTGAGCCTTACTGTTTCCATATAAAGTACAGAACTAGCTTGTCAATTTTCACATGCATACATCTTTCATTAAATCTATCCCTAGGTATTTGATATACTATTTTGATGCTATTCAAAATGGTGTGGTTTTTTTTTTTTTTTTTTTTAAAGATTTTATTTTTTCCCTTTTTCTCCCCAAAGCCCCCGGTACATAGTTGTATATTCTTCGTTGTGGGTCCTTCTAGTTGTGGCATGTGGGACGCTGCCTCAGCGTGGTTTGATGAGCAGTGCCATGTCTGTGCCCAGGATTCGAACCAACGAAACACTGGGCCGCCTGCAGCGGAGCGCGCAAACTTAACCACTCGGCCACAGGGCCAGCCCCCAAAATGGTGTGGTTTTTTAAAATGTCATTTTCTAGTTGTTTGTGACTGTTTTTTCAGAATACTAATTTATATTTATATTAACCCGATATTTAGGGACACAGCTACATTCATTCTAATAACTTACTGGCAAAGTTTTTGAATTTTTTGCATAGACAGTCACGTCGTTGGTGAATATTATTGTTTTATTTTTCCTTTCCAATCCTGATACTCTTTTCCCTTCATTACACTAGCTATACTTGCAGTATGATGTTAAATAGAAGTGGTAACACCAGGCACACTTACCTCATTCCTGATCTCAAGGGAGAGCTTACAGTGTTTTATCATTAAATATGATCTCGCTTGTGTTTTTTGTATATAATCTCTATTTTTTTCATGAACAGTTACTGACTTTTCACAATGGCATTTTCTACATATGTTGAGGGTTCCTTCCTGTTAATATGGTGAATTACACAGATTGATTTTTAAATGTTAAATGATTTTTGAATATTAAATCTCACAGTCCTAGAATGAACCTAACTTGGTTGTGATGTATTTATTATCCTTTTGAAATACTGTTGGATTCATTAGCTAATCTTTTGTTCACAATTTTTGCATCTGTACACAAGACAGATTAGTCTTTCTTGGAATGTTCTTGTAGGTTTAGATATCAAAGTCATGCTGACTGCACAAAATGAACTGGGAAGTGTTTCTTTTATTGCCTCTTTTCCCCGGAAGAGTTTTGTATAAAACTGATAGTATTTCCACCTCATACATTTGGAAGAATTCCCCAGGCCTGCATTTTCCTTTGTGGGGAAGATATAATATGGATTTAATTTCTTTAATAGATATAAGCCTATCAGATTTTCTATTTCTTCTTTAATGGTTCTGATAAACTGTGCTTTTTGAGGAATTTGTCCATTTCATCTAAATTTTTTAATTTATTAGTATAAAATTACTCAAAATATCACCTCAGTCTTTTAAAAAAATCTTTAGGATTTTTGCTATTTGTAATTTGTGCCTTCTTTCCTTTTTTGCTTGATCAGTCATGTTTAAACATTTAATCTATTTTATTAGTCTTTTTAAAGAACTAACTTTGGCTTTGTTAATTTTCTTTATTGTATGTTTATTTTCTATTCCATTAATTTCTGTTCTTTATATTTTCTTCCTTCTACTTTGTTTTGGGTTTGATTTGCAGTTTTTAAATTTTTCTTATTTCTTGAGCTATATACTTTTCTAATATACACATTTAAGGTTATACACTTCCCTCTAAGTATGGCTTTAGCGGCATTCTATATTTTCTTTTGTCACATTTTCAATTTCATTCTGCTCAAAATATTTTAAAGTTTCCTTTGCAATTTCCACTTTGACCCATGGGTTATTTAGACATGTACTGCTTAATTTCTAAATATTTGGGAATTTTCAGTTTCTTTTTGTGATTTTCATCTTCTGAAATTTGTCGAGACTTGCTTTATGGCTCAGTATATGGTTAATTTTGCTACACGTTCTACATGCATTTAAAAGAATGCGTATTTCATAGGTGTATGCAGTGCTCTACATATGTCAATTAGGTCAAGTTGGTTAATTAACTGCTAGGTTATTACTGAGAAAAGTACATTAAAATCTTACTTTAAAATTGTAAATTTGTCTACTTCTACTTTTTACCAACGTCAACTTTTACTTTACATATTTCAAGCTATCTTATTAGATACATACATATCTGAATTGGCTATCACAACTGAATCTCAAAGCCCATAGGTATGGCAAATTTCTTCAGTGCAAAATAGGCTTTAGTGCTCTGCTTATTTTGGGGTAGCTACTTTAGATTTTGGGCTACGTTGTCAGATTATTGATGTTTTCAGGAAAATTTAAAAAACATTCGATCTGGGATTTTTATTGTTTCCACTGAGAAGGCTAGGCTGAATAACCCAGACTGCCAAATTGCAAAAAAATGATTCTCAAAAGATTTTAATTTTAATTTCTGTTCTAAGACTTTTTACCTTCCAATTTTCACTCATGATTCTTCCAATGGAGCCCACTTCTAAAAAAGCTTATAATGAGTCATCATCAGTAGTTAGTTAAACTTTTTAAGAATTAATCTCTTAGCCCTTCAAGTAGGATTTTTCCAACTCTGAGGCTGACGAGAAGTTTGAGAAAAATTGGAAAATCTAAGCTTTTCAACTGTAAGTTTTAAAAAATTCTAATTTATAAATATTGGACATCTTTAGGTAAAAAGAATCTTTAATAAACTTTTTGGTTGTTTGCTTACCGGAAAACCTCAAGGGGAGCAAAAACAGTAGCAATGATGTCCCCAGAATGAGGCAACAAAGTCATGGAGGTAATTGAGATTTGGACAGTCCAAGCAAAGCGTAGAATCACATCCTCTATGATGGCACAGTAGTAATAGGCCTGAGAAAGAATAAGCAAATTGAGTACACTTATTATCCTGTTTCTCACAAATAAGCACACCTATCACAGCAACAAGACTCACACATGTCCCACCAACAAGCACAGGTTAAAGAGGAAAAAGTTTTATTTTCATTTTATTTTATATTTTAGAAAGATTTCACCAATTTAATTTTTTCTTAAGTGATGCAATATTCAAAATGAAGTTTTACTGAGTTTTAGTAATCATTTAACAAATATATCTCATTCCTATATTGCATATCAGGCTCTCTTCTAGACCCCAGAAATACAAGCTAGATCAGATCCTTGATCTGACTGAAATTACATTCTAATATGCACCTGATATGCTAATGACTCAATACTTAATATTAGAAAAGATCAGCAGATTTATTAACTGTTAGTTGCACTTTTATTCTCAAATTGCCTTAACCTGCATTTGAAGGAAGTTTTGCCTTGCTTTTTGATGTCAGGAAATGAAATTAAGCTTGGATTTCACAAACATGGCTGAATTTAAGGAAAGTTCCATTTTCACATGGGAAAGACAGCACTCAACTAATTCTTCCAGGTGCTAGTACGCAGTATTTAGGAGAACAGTTTTAGCTACACCAAAGTCTTAAGTACACAAACTGCCAACAGACCAGAATTGTAATTCATGGATTTGCTTATTATTAATCTCTGAATAATTAGCTCTTTAAATATGTGTACTTAAAGGTTGTGACATCTTATGGGAACTAGAACTGCTATGTATTAAGCCATAGCAGTTACTCTATTTTTAAAAAATTTTAACAAAGGAATACTAGTCATGTTATAATAAAGGCTATTAACAAAAAAACAGCAGTCCCCTTGCCACCTCCTCTTCCTATTCTCTAGAGACAACAATCTTCAAAATTTGTAGTTATTTCTCCTAGTATCTATCCTCCATATTTCTAAACAATGTGCGTATACTGCTATATCCTAATTAATCAATTTTAGACATTATCATTGACTGATTATGATAGATTTTATGAAGATTTTATTAACACATTAACATACCTCCCTGTTCCCTTCCCCATCCATCCAATATAGTGATAATGCAATTTTTGGATAAATCCACATTGAGCGAACTCATTATTAGGCCCCAGTGAAGACCTGCAATTTGACGTGTCTTTAAGAGTCAGTCTTAAGCTGATCCATAGTTGACTGACATGAGAGCTGATGTCATCAAAAATGTGAAAGTTTTTTGGGAGGAATACACTTCACTTGAGGTCAAGAGACACAGAAAAGCTAAGATTTAATATAGAGATAACAAAAACGCTTCCAGAACCTGGGTGTGGTGCTCAATACTATGCATCATTAATCCCTATGAAGTGATTTTAAGGTTCACATAGCTGTGTTCTTCTTTTTTTTTTTGGTGAGGAAGATTTGCCCTGAGCTAACATCTGTGCCAATCTTCCTCCACTGTGTACGTGGGATGCCTCCATAGCATGGCTGATGAGTGGAGTAGGTCTGCACCAGGGATCTGAAGCCACAACCCTGGGCTGCCAAAGCAGAGTGAGTGGAACTTTAACCACTCGGCCCTGGGGATGGACCCCATATAGCTGTGTTCTTAATTTTTAAATGAAGTTCCACTAGACTCCACAAATAATTTCTTCCCACTTCAAGTAGAATGAATTTTATTCCAATATTTGCCTTTTTAAAATTGAACAGAATGTGGTGATCCAGCAGAACATTTTTCTTATAAATTTGCACATTATAATGCAGGAAAGCATATGCCTTATCTCTAGGGTCATGAAAATATGTAATAATAAAGAAACTGATTGAAAGATTCTATTCACTAATTTCATTACATAGAAACCAATAAGTCAGAACTATTTGAAAGGAGAAATGGATTAACATTTATATAAAGATACAAACAGCTCATCTAAGCAATCAGCATAACAAGAAATAAATGTATCATATCTCTCAGTAAGGTAAGAATGGTATAAGGAACAATAAGACACATACATTTGGTGAGCACAAAAGGACCATATTTACTTGAGTTCCTGTCTGTTCTCTGAATTTTGCTCATCATTATTGATTTTTTTTCAAATGAGATTTATAAAGATAGGTCTAGTATCTTGGTCATATAACCAACGTTTTCACATTGAGATTATCCTACTGCTTTTGTAAAAGAAGATCATTGTCAATGATATCCTCTTTTCTGCTTTCATTTGCTTATCTGAAATCACCCCACATATCATTCTTCAAATCCACTCTCCGATCATTTATCTTCAATCCTCACACTTGAAAACAGCCTGCCATACTCACCAATTGAGTATTACAGATTCATACACTTTTCAGAGTACAATTTTGAGGTACTAGTGACATTTTGACACGTATAAAATATTAGTGACCCAATCTATACTCCCCTCCTCATCACAGAATTTCAGAACTGGGAAAGGACCAAGAGGTAATCTAGCATAATCCCATACCTTATAGAAGAGAATACACTGGAGTCTGGTTGCCTAAAGTTACACAGCTAGTTAGTGAGGGAGCTGGGATTAGAATTCACTTGTCAGGATTTTCAGTTTGTTGTTTAATTTCTTTCAATATCTGAGTAAAGATACTCTTGATCTTCCGACTTCTAAATTTGGCCTCTCTCGTCCTTTTCTTCATATATAGATAAAATCCGAAAATACTTCCTAAGGAATTATCCATATATTTTCAGATGGAATTGGCACTTCAACAAAAACTGGTTGAAATAAATGAAAGGAGAAGTCTTTTCAATGCACCCAAGCAGAGTTAGGTACTCCCTTTCCTTTGTGCTTTCATAGCACTGTTCATTCCATCAAGTGTTTATTGATTCATTCCACAAACATTAAATCTACTATATGCCAGGCACCATGTTGGGCAGTGAGAGATATGGATACCGAACCAGATAATTATAATACAATGTGATAACTGCTATAATGAAAGTTTGGGATTAGGACAAATGGGTAAATATGCCTGGAGAAATAAAGAAAGGCTTCTTAGAGAAAGTAACACTTAAACTGACTTTTAAAAACAAGGAAGATGAGTTTGCAAGGTACAAAGGTGAGAGAGGGCATTTGAGACAAAGTGAATTGCATGTTCAAAGACAAATAATAAATTATAATAAGTTATTTATTCCTCTTTTCTAGTCTTTAACACATTGTATTACAATCTGTTTACTTATCTGTTTAGAACATAGTTTATGGCCTCTTTGAGAACAAGAATTTTACTTTGTTTTTATTTTCTTTAGTGCCCAGCATATAATAAACACTTGACACATTTTCGCTTACTGAATGAATTAATATTTTTGGTAATTATTTTTTCTAATTATAATATTACGTTGGGATTGGGTATGTATTGTAATAGGATTTACCTGGTGGAACACCTGAGTTATTTTTTTGTTTAACAAACGCAAACACTTTGTACATACTTTTTGAGGGTATACAATCTCTTCCCGGAGGAAGGTGTTTTCTCCGGCATTCTTATCAAAGAGACCCCAGTCCATCTTTAGATCCCAGATCAGAGTATAGCAGGAGCTGATGATGCAAAACACGATCCACAGGTAAAAGAACACCACAGTGTCTGAGTGACCCCGTTCTGAAGAAAGAAAAAGGAAAAGAGAAAATCACTAGATTTAAGTAAAATTCTTCATTAAATAAAACTATTTTAAAAACAGACTCTTTATACAGCTCTATAAGAAAAGATTTTAAACAAATCTCCCTAGTAGGATTATTGTCTAACAAAGGTTAAGTAATAAATCTGATTCTCCTTCCAAAGTAATCATTAAACATTTATCAAATACATAAAATCTGTACAAACGTGCATTTGGAGTTTTGGAGGCTCTATGCTGAATATGTAAAAATCCAAATAACTGCAATGGAAGTTTTGAATATTACAAAACGATGTCATTTTAATTTTTGCCATCAGGTGGCAGCTTAGGGTCAAAGATCAAAAAAAATATATGAAACACCAACAAGGAATGTGCTGCATTCACTTCAAGAAATTCTCAGATTGTTTTTACTTTAGAAGAACATTTCCTTTGTACACTTACATTTTTTCAATACTTATTGTGAAGGCAATCAGATAGTTTTAATTCTAGATAAAACGCCAGAAAGCAACAGACTGATGAGGAATTCATCCTTAAGGACATATGTAAAAGCAAATTTCTCTCAACTCACAAAGCAAAGCATGGTATATTTTTGCTCCTTTTAGAGGTTGTTTATTGATAGAAAGGTCTAATTTGACTTTATGCTGGGAATACTATAAACTAACTTTTGCCTTTATGTTGAGAACACTATAAAGTGCACTAAATCAGAGTAACAAAAATAATTTGCAAATGTAGTTATACGATTTAGTCTTTTTCACTCTTAAGTCCTTTATATATTCTCTAATGAAATTCTTCTATGGTAAGTTTGAGAGTCATCATGATGTTATTTGTGTTCTCTGTGTACAGAATGTAGGTGTGTAACTACTAATACGATCCTGAATCATCAGGAAAAAAGGGTATAAAACATATGATTAAAAAAAAATTTGAATTTTGGTTAGTTTACCAAAGGCACAGAGAGTAAAGAATGCATCATACGCTATCCACAATCCTTCCTATTAAGATAAACACGTGTTTATTAATCATTTTTAGGTATTAAAGTGTTAGGTCCTGTATGGGTCAAAGGCGCCCTTTATAAATTTATAATCCAGTAAGTGAAACAACAGTTTGTTCTTGATGATAAACTTGAGCTAAAAATGAATATAAACAAACTACTATTAGAACATCAAGGAGAATGGGAATGTTTCCAACAGTAGGAAATAAGAGGAAGTAGAATTTGAGTTATTTCCAGAAGGATAAATAAATAGCGTTGCAAAAGTCAGGCACATGAGGTAAGGCCATTCAAGGCTGAAGGAAGATAATGAAAAGGCATGGGAGTGGGAAAGTGCAAGGTGTGTCTGAGAAGCTGCAAATAATCTAAATCTAGTGTGGGTGAAAATATAGAGATGTAAGGATTTATGATGATTTGAAATGAGGCTGGAAAAGACATTCTGAGTCTGACTGTGGAATGCTTTCTTGGGCCTTAGAATCAGATCTGTATTTTAGGAAAATAACTGGTCTGGTTGCTTGCGTCAGAATTACTTACTAGGTTAAAAAAATACAGATATATCAGAGCTACAGTGTTGTGTTAGTCAGTTCAAAGCAGCTCATGAGAGCTGATTGTTAAATTTTCAGAAACTTTGTAAGCTGGTTGTAAACATAGTCATTTTTAAAAATTAAATTACATAAACTTCCAATTAGTTATATTAAAAACGAAAGTAGCAAAATCTCAAAATTCATGACTTCCTAATTATTCTACTAAATTTTGCCATTATCTATTCTTTTAGATTATGTTTATTGTATCTGTATGATGGAAATACTATATAATACTGTGCTACTACACATCTTTTCCCAGCATTCAATGTTATTATCTTAGTAGCTTGAATTTGGCTATGGTGGAAGTTATTTATACGATGGAAATCAGCAAACACTGCAAATCAGTGCCTCCTATTCCCACTCCCACTCAAGAGCTTGTTTATTAAATATCTGCCAGCACACCACTATTCAGCCTCTTCTTCTGGAATGTCAGTGGCAGGGAAGACAAACTAATATTTTTTTAAATGGTCCACAAGTGATTCCAATGAACAGTCAAGCTTGGAATATAAACACATTTTCAGGTTTAAATTATTTCCACAAACTTTTCTTTATCAAAATCAAATTGGGTTGAATATTTACACTAAAACATTGTGCCATTTGAGTTATCAATTTAAAAGCCCTAACAAAATATTTACTTATTATCTGGAGTTAGTTGGATGTTCTGATGTATTCATTTCATTCTATAGACAGATACAGGGTCTAGCTGAGTAACACTGTTCAATAATTAACAACATGGTTGCAGTAAAAAAATCCTATAACTCATCTACTAAGGTTTGCAAAGAATAAAGCAAATTCAGCAAGTTAATAAAATTTACACTCTTCTCATATTTTCAAAACAAGATCAACACGGAGATAAAGACAATTAACTATAAATTTATATTTGCAACTTTTTTTTATTGAATGCTTACTATGTGCCAGGTGCTTTATATATATTATCACGTTTGGTTTTTGCAACAATAAACAATCATTTTGTTTGCTAGTAAGAGTAACCAAATCAGAACAGAGTAATAGTACATTCAGCAGGAGGTAACAAAATAAACTCAAGCGAGTATAGGAAATATCAAGTCTTATTAAAGTTGATTTTCTTTCCTAATTATTGAAGAAATCATGCAATTCAAATTATAGAAGAGGAGATTGTGGGCGGAAAAGTAAAAAAAAAAAACGAAAAGGAATGAATAATGACACTAAAGGTAATGTGCTAATTCTCTTTTTTTTCTCTAGATTTTAAAATCAAGTCCTATCCTTAGAATATAAGTCTTAAAATGGTACAGTGGGTCAAGAGTCTCCCTCCTTTCTAAGCCCTTATAAATTTCTATGAAACATACATGAGGACTGATTGACTTAAAAAACAAATATGCGATTATTTTAACAGAGTATTTTGGAATAAGAAATGTTTTATCTTACGGTCTTCTTCAAATGATGACTAGCAGACACTTGGTCTACATATGCTACATTTTGGTCTTTTTAATTATTACCCTTATTTGATCTTTCCCATTTCCCAAATGAGGAGTGTTTCTCCCTGAAGTCATCTGCCTTCATTGGTATTCAGGGGATGTACTGGAAAGATATTATCACTTTGGGCAAGTAATTACATCTAATTCTCTCTTGGCTAACTCTGGTAGCCCACGTTAGTGATGTTCAGAATCACAGAAAATCAAGTCATTGCTATTCTACCCTAAGCTTCTATCTATTACACACCTGCCATGTTAGACACATAATTCATACTGGACATATTTATGGTAATGGTATCTACTGAATCTCAAACAAATAAAAATAACCTTCTTAGAGTTTTGTACCCATAGCCATTGTCAGAAGGACAAAGAAAAATAACACGTTAGGAAAAGTACTAAGAGAGAAATGAGAAAAATTATACATGGAAATCATCCTAAATCATATTTCAGGGAGGATATTTTAAAAATGACAAAAGTGAAGAGAAAGTGAACAGTCTTCTTTTCAACTAAAACATTTCTACTCTGGTAATAGTTCACTAGTTTTTAACCTGAAATGAAGTAAGAAAACAAATAAAACAGACTGCACACCTTTTCAAAGCCCAAACCTATATCAGTAAGCTGAGTTATGAATAAGTTTGGCGGCTAGCAAATCCTAGTTTTATTCCTACAACCCCAAAAAATCAAACCACTGAATTATGAGATTAATATGGCTTTCTGAAAAATTAATGGACATGGATACTTCCCTGACCTTTAATGTGTTTTAGTTAATATGCGAGGTCACATATATTACACTTCCTCAAGTGATTATCATATTTATCCTCAGGGCAGCCAAGACAGACATAGTTATTCTCATTTTACAGTTAAGGAAGCTGAAGTTCAGAGAGACAGTCACTAAGTGCAAAGATAACTGGATTTGAAGTTAGAAAGTCTGTGTTTGAATCCAGACTGTAAGTCTTTCCAATTCTGTAATTACAGAAAATTCATAACCTTAAAATGATTGAGACAAAAATGGAAATTATTAGGCCTACAGATAAATGAGGAAATTAGAAATAAGAAGCTATCCGAAGAACTTTTTGTACTATACAGTGTTGTTTCTCTATCACAACTCTAAAATGAAAAAACAGTTCCATAAAACTATGAAGTAACATTAAAAACATTTCTAAGGTACGTAGAAAATAGAATTTAAAAACTATACACATATTATTATCTCATACTGTATATAAAACCACGTTTACAGAAAAGACAGAGGTGGCTATCTTTGACGAGGGAAGTAAGATTATTAAGGGGACTCACTTTTAACTTTACGTATTTCTGCATTATTTGAATTTCACTTTTACAGTGATACGTATCTAAGTTTTACTTGCATAATTAAAAAGAAAAGAAAAAGACAGGAAAAAAGAAGCAAAAATTCTCAACAAAATATTAGCAAACTGAATTCAACAATACATTAAAATGATACAACACGATCAAGTGGGATTTATTCCAGGGATGCAAGGATGGTTTAACATGAACAAATCAAACATGATACACCACATAATAAAATAAAGGATAAAAATCATATGATGATGTCAACAGATGCAGAAAAAGCGTGTGACCAAACTTACCATCCATTTATGACAAAAACTCTCAACAAAGTGGGTATAGTGGGAACAAATCTCAACATAATACAGGCCATATATGACAAGCCCATAGCTAACATCCTACTCAACCATGAAAAGCTGAAAGCTTTTCTACTAAGATCAGGAACAAGACAAGGAGACCCACTCTTACCACTTTTATTCAACAGCGTATCAGAAGTCCTAGCCAGAGCAATTAGGCAAGAAAAAGAAATAAAAAGCATCCAAATTGGAAAGGAAGAATTCAAAGTGTCATTTGCAGAAGACATACTATATATAGAAAACCCTAAAGACTCCACCAAAAAACTGTTAGAACTAATAAATGGATTTAGTAGAGTTGCAGGATATAAA